TATTTATATAGGAAAACCTTTTTTTTTATACCATATCCATCGGAGACGAGAAAAAAAAGATATTTATAATATGTTTTTGTGTTATAAATAATAAAGTATAAGTTATTAAAGTGTAACAATGAGGTAAAATTAATGTATGAAAAGAAATTGAGAAGTCTTTATTAATTGTAGAAGATTATTTTTTTATTAATAGATATGCAAAATAACAAATATTAATTTGCATATATATCTTGCATTTCGAAAATGTCATCCTCGTCAAGTGGGGGGTGGTTGTTGCAATCACTTCTACTGCAAACGATGCAGACAGGCGAGCAATAAAGCCCACTTTTTCTGCAGCCACACGCTGAACCGCACTGTCTTGCATGAGCAAAACATAATTTTTAAAATGTTGTCAGGTGCTGCTGGTTTAAATAATTGTCTTTTTGCCCCATTTTTCAGGAGATATCGATGAATTATTTTTCCATTGTTGGACTTGCAAATATACTTGTTTAATATGTTGTTTTGCTGCATCTTCTGTCGGAGGTAAAGAATTTAGTTGTACACTTTTATTTTTTGAAGCTAATGCAATGAAACGTTTATATCGCAGTTCGTTCAAGCTTTTGGAAGTTTTAGCACCATACATCCTAAGAATACAATTAATACCTTCACTAAAAAGCACTTCCTCACATTGCTCTTCAACCATAAAAGTTTCAGTTGCTGCACGTAACTTCTGATCGTCATTAAACATTTTAGTGAAACTATTTTTACCTTTGTTGAAGAAAGCGGAAGTAGTATCACATCCAGTGAATGCATGGATAAACAAAATTTTGTTTTTTATATTTACATATTTTTTTAACATTGTTTTTGTTTAATAAACCCGTCATCATTTTTAGTGGTTAAAAAAAACATTTCTTTATCATCAGGTGCTAAAGCCATCAATAACACTAAGACAACAATGTCCCCTGCTAAAACAATTACATGAAAGAAGGAACAATCTATAGCTGACTGCACAATTATCGATCAGCATCACTTCCTGCTTGACTCCACTCAATATTATTTTCATCCATTTTTCTGCAGAGAAGATTAATAAACCTATTTTTATTCTTGCTGTTTCCTAGTAAGTCTAGTAGTTTTCCTAGTAATTTTACTAGGAAAACTTTCTAATACAACTTTCTAATGTGATGAATATAATATGTAACGTTTACACACGACGCATACATATTTTTGTATAATGTAAATTAAAAATTATTATTATAATTTTTTTTTAACAATTATTTTTCGTACTAGAATTAAAATATGAACATTTTTTATAAAAACAGAGACGAAGCTGAATTGATTCTATATAAATATCATAGACATTGTTTAAACAATATAAATCGTTCCGTCCTTGCTCCAAATGGTTTCTGATTTTAAATAATATAAAAAAAAAACAATTAAAAAAAATCATCAAAATCGGAGCTGTTCTTGAGGACTTTTGAAGATTACCTGTTTTATGTATTCGTTGACGCGACTATAAACCTTTTAAAAAATAAGAACGCTTTAGAATCTGTTGTGTAGTTTTTTTAGATTGAAGCTTACACAGGGACTTTAATACTATGTAATGACTACGACATATTACTGCATAATAATACATATGTACTTATATAGTACATACCAGTATAATATAATTTGTATCTTGTTCGTGTTTGTTTTAAAAAAAATCTGATAAATGAAGAAAAACAATTTAATTTTAACAACAATTTTATAAATAATTACCCTTTATATTAAATTCAAACTTGAATATCCCGGAATAAAATTTGAAATCTAAACACAAACAATCTTAAAAATCGATTCTAACAAGGCCCGTAGCTGCACAGCCTGACAGTGGGCAATCTGTTGAATATATTGCAGCGACTATTGCAGAAGAGGAAGCAAATATTCCAATAAGTGTTGCCATCGGTACCGCAGACGGGGCGGTAAATTTGCGGACAAGCGTTGCAGTTGAAGTAACTGTAAGGCTTGCACTGTCCATAGAACACGACGTGCAGGGGCCCCTGGTTCTGATTATGTCTTACTCTATTCTCGCAATCAAGGACGCATTTGTTGCCATAAGTGTTGCCATCGCTTGCGCATACCGGTTCGTCGATCTGAGGGCAAACACATCCACACTCACCCTTATGAGCGATGGACAAGTTTCCGCCTAAACGTTGAATTCGATTCATTTCGCATGTCAAATGACAGTCGCTGGCGTAGGTATTTCCATCGGTGCCACATACCGGGTGATTCTTTTGTGGACAAGTACACTGCTGACAGGCTCCTGAATATTGGACACCTATTGCAGTTCCACCCGGTAGCGCCTGCTTGTTCATACTCGCGCATTGAAGAATGCAGAGGTTTTTATAAGACTTACCGTCTGTACCACAAACGGGAACGACCGATTTGTAACAATTACAACGGAATGTACATTGAGTTCTGTTAGTTACTGTAAGTGGAGATAGACCTATTCGCACCAAGGCTCTGCTTTCACATGACATCTCACATTCATTGGTATAAGTTTGT